AAATTCGCCGCCTTGATAGAAGCAAAGGACTCGATCATAGTCCTTTGCCTTGAAGAAAAGGACGTGGATAACATGCCCTCCGCCGATGCATTAAAAATGTAGAAGGTAGAAAATCTATAGTCATCAAAAGGGTAGACAGGAATGTATTAAAGGAAACTCCAAGTAACAAAGCTAAGAATATACAGTAGAAGAGATGAACCCATGGGCAAGAGTCGAGGAAGTGGTTCTAATGCCCAGGGCTCCTACAATGATGAAAGTTTGGAGAATGGACTCTGCATCTCCCACTACCACCCAACAAAACAACAAATTGAACTGGAAGAGTTCTACCCAATAACACCGTGGTCGAACTGCTACCAATACACCCATTCATCGGCAAACTGCCCCTAAAATGGTAAAATGTTCTGTTCTGAAAGCGCAGCAGAGGGCCACACATTCAGAGAATGTAGTAACAAAGGCAACCCCAAGTGCCTGAACTGCAGTGGGGACCACAGAACACTGGCAGCACGTTGCCCCACAAGAAAAGAGATCATTAAGAAACTGAAAGAAAAAGGAAAGGTAAATAAGAAAATAGAATCGGACCCCAACAAAACATATGCAGCAATACCAAAATTGCAAGAGACTACCACCAAAGTCTTAGAGAAAACTAAAGAAAAACCTCCACACAACTTACCTACCTGAAACTGAACGAAGGGCTACCATTCACAATACTAGCGACTATTATCCATACACACATCAACAACGCCGTAATGCCAGGATCCTTCGGAAAAACGACCAGGGAAATGTTTGCTGCCAATAATCTGCCGGAGGTGAAATTCCCAGACGATGCCCCTTCAACTAAAATATTCAAAATTATTACCGAGAGCAGCTTGGGATTAACTATGATTCGGGAGCAAACAGCCAAACCTGCCATAGAAGATAACGCAACTCGGCAGACAGAGAAACCACAAACCCCCAAAGCTGACCCAACCAAATGCAAAGCAAGAAAAGACTCCCAACTGGCCATCGTACTTCCCCATCTTCACCAGTCAGAGTACAGACTTGTGCACGAAACCAAGGAAGGCACAGACAAATTCACTTACGAAGATAGCAGGGTAGAAGAAGCCCACATAGAGGAGGATTATTAAGCACCAAATATAACAAAATTGAAAGGAAAGATGCAACTAAATACAAGAAAATCAGAACGGGACTAAAGGAAGAAAGACACAGACACTCGACAAAAGAAACATGAGCCAGCAAACAACCTGAACCAAATTCCAGGAATCCACGACTTTACAAAACAGATCATTAAAGATAATCCAACACAGAACTCATAAACATATACAACTTAATAGACCCAGACACCATTCTTATCAACGCATATGGACCAAAACAAAACAATCAAAATATTTAATTACCACGTATACCAAAGAAACATCAACGAATGCAAAAAGACATTACCAGAACACAAAGCTGGTGGCCAAAGAGAGTAATGGACGATAACACAGAACCAGAACCAATAAATACACAATGAAAACTAAGATACACAAAAGGACCTGGAGTGCCCCCATCCCCCCTTAATACCCCAAACTACCTTAGCTTAGCTTAGCTTAGTTTAGCTTGTCTGCCCTTGCCGGAGTGGACCTGCGGAAATGCTGTCGTGGCAGACATAACCCCGTCCCCGCAAGGTGGATAGCCCACCTACTATCAAATCTCCCTCTTTATTTCCTACTTCCTAACTTTACCTTCCTCCTACAGCTACACCGTCTTCCACCTTCAGAGCAAACGGAGCTTTTCTCTCCATCTAATCAACATCATCATCAGGACGCAGATCGCGGTATGAGAGGCGCCGCTGATTGGCTGTTGGCGACGAGGGCAGCTGGCCAATAGGGCGATGTTGTTGTTGTTGAGATTGTCGGACCGTAGTCCTACACGGGCCTTTGCCTGTAGGCGGCCCGTTTGGTGGTTCCGGCTGGAGCTCTTGGAGCAGTCAGACCGGATTTGGGATTGAGGTGTTCTACCTGCAGATATGAAAGGATACTGCAGGTTTGCAAGTGTGAGCGGACCCTCCGTCAGTGAACGCTTACCACCAACCCTCACTCTTGGACGTGGTCAGTTTCGGAGTGGCGCGCCCCCCGAACTGGGGTCCGCACTTGCTGGGAGAGGATACTTCCTAAGCTGTCTGGGTGGTGGGTATCATGTGATGACCCGGAGAATGTGGTGAATGTGGTTTGCTTGGGCCTTTCGGATTAGAGTGGCCGCTGGTGTTGTGTGTTCTTCTTGGAAGTTTCGAATTCTGTTTCGGAGACTGTGTGTGACTTCGCAGTCGAGGAGATAGTGTTCCAGTGGGTTGGCCGTTGGCTCCTGACAGTAGGTGCATTCCCTGACGACATTTACGATCGTCTGCCAGGTGCACTTGTACCCTCCTCTTCCATAGTGATGAGTACAGTGTTCCTGCCCCATTAGGTTAGGTTAGGTTGTAATTGATTTAATTGTAGGCCCAATAGTATTATGATGTGTCGACGGGTAAATTTTCATACTGAGCAAACCTTCTATTTAGTTATTGTGTCATTATTATTTTGCTTCACTCATATTTGAGATGGCTAGTGAGTGTGAAGACATTCCAGGATAAATAGTTATTTTAGTCGTGAACCCAATAGAAGCAAGGATTAATGTAACAGGTAACCACCTCCCTCAATTACCGTGGTGAATTCTCTCAGTCTGAGTAGATTTTACTTTCTTACCCCGACCACCCAAGGTTCTTGGTCATTAGCAATACCAAGGTGTACAGTCGGAGTCAAAAAGTTCGCTCCCTCCTAAAATGAAGCCGGTTCGACGCCCCAAAAGATAAAACAGCACACCAGCACCAGATGGCATTCAGGGTAAGTACGTTCTGAGACACATTCCAGTGGCTGTACATCTGTGGGAACTACGTAATATATGGGATAAAGTTACAGATGTCTAACTGCTTCTGTTTCGGGGCTATGACTGGAACAGACAGACAGAGACACTAACAGCCAGATGCGTCGTCAATATTAATACTAAGGGGCACAAAGTTGGGAACCATGCAATATGTGTGTAAAATTTCAGGCATCTAATTATAGTATTTCCACTCTAACCTGGCCAGTAAGCCACGCCCCTCGTCAATAGCTACAAAGAGCTGATTGGTTCCCCCGAGCGTTTTACCTCCCACTGGACTGCGCTTATATAAGCACATATTTATATCGACCTTTAAAATAGATATTTGAAATTTTCTAACATCCTCTCTGAAGTGCTAATGCATTGAAATGATATGCATTTTGATAGTCCAAATATTTCACATAAAGTATGAATTTTCTATGAACCAATCAGCTATTCGTATAGAAGAGGGGCGTGGCTTACGGGGCAGGTTAGCGTGGAAAGAGTGTAGTCTAGTTCCATTTTGGAACTATGGCAGGAACAGACAGACGCAAACTCTACCACTCACATACCCTGGGTTCACGGGGTTCCGTGGTCAGTAGTAATAATACCAAGATGCACAACCTTGGGATATAAAATATAATGTGTGTATAAGGTGTAGCACATCCCTCGCTCACTGGCTACCAGTGTGGAAATCCTTAGAAGTTCCTGTGTGACACAGAAGGGCCAGTCAACTCCTCCTACCGTCTTCCTCACTTCGAAAAGTTTCCAGGGCACCAGCTGATGCCATCGAAGTAACTAATCACATTTTTAGAATAGAAACATGACGTGGTAATCGAGGTTATTTAATAAGCTGCCACACCCTTCTCGGCACACTTCTACATTTCTTCACTTGACTTCACACTTTCAGCTCACTCCTCAGTGTGTCAACTTGTGGTGGTTCCTCTCTAGCGAATCTCAAGTCTCATCATGGCCCAGCTATCTACAGTAATACTAAGTAACCTACACGTATTTTCTCTTAGGTTTAGGGACGTGCCAGCCTGAAATATCTGATTATTTATACTAGGACACGGAACTTTCTTGGCCAGTGATCTTACGAAGTGTTACGTAGGTTAATCCGATTTTTTTACGCGGATTAGCCAACCAGGGCACTAACCCACATCAAGGCCTGGGGGACAACTACAACTACAAATAATAATAATAATAATAATAATAATAATAATAATAATAATAATAATAATAATAATAATGGTAAACAACCATAAATAAAAAAAATCAAGATTGAGAAACAGTATATTATGTATGTTGTGTTGTCAAAGTAAAAGAAACAATTGAGACCCTCTAATTGTGTGTACTGTAAATGAGGCAGAGAGTCAGATCATCAACCTGGGACTTGGTCACATATGGCAGCAGGGTCTACCATTAGACAACACATTATGCTTCCAAAATCTTCCCAGGCGGTAGTACCTCCCTGATAGGTAGATGCTTACTCATTTTCTCTTGTAAAGCGATTTTTGTAGTTTTTGTATAACTTCTTATTGGTGTGCTTTTTCGCAAATGTTAACCTTAATTATAGTTATAGGAAAATTACTATGCCTTATTTGCTGCTACTCCCCCCTCACAAGTGATTTCTGAGCCAGAGACATTATTACATTTACTGTATCATTTTCTCGGGATCACAACTTATTAGTTCACGAATGGAACTTATGGTTAACCTTTTTACCTGGTATTAGTTTTTGAGCGTTTTAAGAGTACTGTATTCATTTTACTTATATAATTAATTGTTTACCATAAATTCTACCCCGTGACAGAGGTTTCAGATCTCTGTATCCGATTTTACCTTTGGTTGTCACCCACATGAATCTGACCTATATATACTGATAATGAATATTATGTCAAGACCTGACATGAATTACTCAGAATAGGCAAACTGTACTCCAAGCTTTGTCAATAAATTTGTTTAACTAAAAACTACCTATGGTTGGAACAGAGACACAGACAGACATATCCCATTACGTTCGTGTTTAGTTTAGAAATATAAATATGATCAACTAATTACTACATCTCTAACTGTTTGAATTGAATTTTAAGATTTTATAGTGTAAGGTATAATGCATATGAATCAAGATAATTTTGTTTTATTGCAGCACTACATTATTTATATTTTAAAGTTTTGGTCTAGTTTTGTGTGCAACATTCAGGTATTGCTTCCAGGAATATATACCAAATTATTTTAGTGTACAATTGTTTAATTCTGAATAAATAACTTTTGTACCGTGGTTATTCTCATGTTTCCAAGCTTTTCTTTTTAACATGAGTTGTTGCGAACTGCACAAGAATAATCGACTGAGTTCCAAATGTTAAACAATTATTCATAATCCAGAAAATAATTAGTTTGTAGCATCACAGCGGAGGAGCCAAGAGGTCGAGCGTCTAACATGATGTATACACCTGGTTTAAGTCACAACAAAGCCGCTGCTGCGACTGTCCTTCGGTCCATTCCCAGGGTCCTTCACACACCCTCGAGTAAGCAAACACCTGTCAAGAACAACAATTTGGTTTCATTTAAAGTGTCAATTACCATCATCATACAGGAAAATTATAACTATAGTAGGTCAGATCATGTCAAGTGAGGTTAGGTTAGGTTAGGTTAGGTCTGGTGTGTGTGTGTGTGTGTGTGTGTGTGTGTGTGTGTGTTAATTTGCATGAACTCTAATAAATTAACAAAGATCTAATATTATTTTTTGTCTTATTCTAGAAAATATAATTAACGTTCTCATCTCCTATTTTTTTTTAGTTACAAGGCGTTCAAAGGTGTTTTTTTTCAAGTTCCATGCATAAGAAAGACAGGAACTTTGTGACTCACGTATTCTCCTGATACAGGGAAGCGGAGTGTATAGCAGAGGACTTGACCCACAGTGGTCACGCCGTCAGAACTGATGTGGTCGAGGTTGCCGTGACCAGACAGTTCGGAAAATTCGTTGTAGCAGTGATGCTTGCATTGTTCGTGCTCCTCACACCTGTAGAAGCACAATAACTATCTTGTGGATTTCATAATTAGGGCACCATCTTCAGGTATTCACAAATTTTACTCTATATCCAACAGAGTGGGATGTATCAGGCACACCGAGTTTCACAGACGTCTAAGATAAATTCATTTAACATAAACCTTTGTTGAATAAGAAACTAAACTCGATGTATGTTCGTTTACCTTTTTATACGGACGTCAGTCAATATGCTTTCTCATTATTACAGTACATGTGACTCTCTTCCACGGTGTTTATACTCATCATACTAAAGAGGTATAGCCCTACAATGAGATTACCTGAAGATTAACTCTGCCACCCTTATTTCACATGGTGATTAATCACTCTAATGCTACTTAGGGGAATTAGCTAGTGTAAGTTAGGTAAAATTATGTTACGTGAGGTTATGTTATGTCAGGTTAAATAGGTTAGGTTAGCATTAGGGTAGTTAATCTTAACCTGGAAAATACTTGGGGGCTAATCATCAGGTGAGTGAAACACCCTAGTTTCTGACGTATTCCATCTTCTATGTGTTTTTTCTCCTTCAACCTTAATTTATTAGCTTATCAGAAATCTTCCTCAACAGCGTATAATCCAGTATGTGTTTGATATATTTACATCTTCTCTATTTGTATCTACGTATTTCTAAATATCTTGCTTGCATTTCCCGTCTTATTTATTTATCATATTATGTTCATTCTTATGTATATTCATGTTACTTCATTTAGTCTTCAGAATCACGCGGCATTACTCATACAGCAGAATTATAAATTAACGTCTGTAAATTACAGTAAGCAAAACAATGAAAGCTGTCAAAGACTTCAAGCAAATAATCGTATTGGTAAACCACCTGTCGCCGAGAATTACTTGCAATTTAGAAATGAAATACATTTTCATTTTAACACAAATTCCATGAACTTTCTGTTGGTGGACATCGGACACTCTCTTTTTAACCTTATTATTTGACGTAGATACTAAAACAGTAATATCCTCTAATGCAAGTCTGCTTAGCTCTTTACTTAACATTATCTTTACAGCACTATAATCCATAAATACTAATGTGATAATTGTATTTCCCAGTCATCATCCATAATTATAAATACCGAATGAGCAAGGAAAAAATAATGTCCAAACTTTCTCCTTAACTTGCTAAATTGAAAAGAGAAATACACAAGTGTTTCTTTGTGTGGATATTTTCTCCTTTCCACCATTACAGTGCTTTGCATCTACGCCCATTACACCTTCATGCGCATTGTTTTATTCTCCTTTTCTTATTTCATGCATTGTTCACCAACTGGGAGAGAAGTTTGCAGCATCTATACAGAAAACAAATACTGTATAATTATAGTAGAGGCACTAGTCCAGATAACGTTTACCACAACTTAACATAAAAGTCATAGACGATAAGAATCCAATTTTTTAAAGATTGATCGGAAATTATATTGATGCTTACAATGGTAAATATACTGTACATTTTATAAACTAACATAACTCAGTGTCAACAGTATAGTTTTGATCGGAATGACATCCTGAGGTAGGATCTAGTTCGGAAGACTCACGTATGAACAGTTGACGTTGGCAGCTTGTGCACCTCCATCTCTCCCCCTCTCACTGTAATAAAGGCACTACAGTGACAAGGTTCTTTAGCTGTCGCCCTGTTGGTAAAAAGTAAAAATGAAAATAATGTACAACAAAGAAAGATATGAAACAAGAAACTGAGGAAGTAGACGGATGACTTAGTAACACTTAACTTTCAGTTGTAAATAAGATTAAAGTTTTATTTCGTCATTGTTCGGTAATTTAATTGCTAGTTTGTCATTATACGTTAAAATGTATAAATTATTCGTGAACATTTTACAAGACAACTATTATTTTTCAAGATTGACAGAATATAAAGATCACTTAATGCTGAAATCACAAGAGGTAAACTACACCATAAAAAAATATCTAGAGATGTGAAGAAGATAATTTAATATGAAAGAAAACCAGGACAAAGGATTTAATACCAAAGAGCACAAGAGCATGTTAGTGAATGAGAAGAAGAACTAGGAAACAAGAAAGAAGATAAATTAGTGGAGACAATGAGTTAAAAGACATATTGAAGTAAAGAGGTAAGAATGTGAAGTATAGAACAGGGAAGGTTGAGGAGTAATTAAGAATATGCCATAGAGTCCATGACAGTAAAGAAGCTGAGCAGATAGCAGGTGTCAGTGATACTCACGAGGCGACAAGAAGACCAAGCAGTAACAGGTGGCGGATCATGGTGGGCCTATACCAGAAAAATTAAATCCATCAATAACACAATGATCACACTGACTATATTCACTGCCTACTCCTCTTATCTTAGCAATGTTTGCTATTTTGCATACCACGCATAGACGCCTTTAACTAAGGACTGGAAACGAGCGATCTCGGGGATTGAAACTTGGGTCCGTTGTTTAAATGCATCATCAGGAAAGAGGTTGTCTCTCAGACACACTTACACACATACACCCGCGCACAGATTCACATCCAAACACGCCTATTTTTCCACAGACAGTCACCCATAACCCCGCCATAATGACGCCTTAAACGACATCTCCCGCCCACGTGAGGAACATCGTGGTATGAGTTGATCGTGCATCAGTCGACTAGTTAACATTTTGTTTGATGAAGTTAAGCTTAAGCAGGTCCTTACAGGGGAGTAATTATATGGTTGGCCATGTGTCAAACAAACCAGAAAATGTATCAACATCAACTCTTGTTATTGAAGTTGTTTGTTACAGTTTTATGGAGGACCACGATGCTTCATACGAATCCATCCTGTATCGGGGTTGAACGCTATTCAGCCGAAACTATTTTTATTGTTAAAGCTAATGTTGGGCATCCGGTAGGCCTATCGTTTGTCTGCGACAACTGTCCAATTAATCAAGGTGAATATACACAGCTTGGTGGTCCAGGGAAAGTATCACTAGCAACCAATAGTTATGTTCCTTGTGTATGATTATGTTCACATCCTAAAAAAAAAATGAGAAACAACTGGATCAAAGAAATGCCAACAATTATATTTCACCGAGGATGATACAAAATATTTGGCGAAGATCAGAAAACACCACTTCGTCTCACACGCTCATCAGCGTGCCCTAAACCTTACAGCGTCGAAGTGTTTGTCAAGAGCTCAATGAAAAAATAAATGCTGCATTTAAAGCTCTGAAAGGCGCTGTTGATTATCAGGATGGAGCAGTGAAATACATCACACTGGTAACAAATAATTTGTTCCAAATTATTGGTACAAAATGATGAATGTTAAAAGTGATTACAGTTCAATTCAGTTATGAGATCGATATCATGAACCTCGGACATTGAACTGAAAACTTTAAAGAGCTGCAGGAATTGTGTAAGGTTATGTCCAGCTGTCGGTTGACTGGTGGACATGGCAGACAGAAAAAACTAACACAATCAACAGCAGCTAATGTTGAAAGCTAATGTTGATTACTTTCGTGTCGAATTCACTTGAGTGTCAAAATACCCATTTAGACAATTATTGTTAAAGCTGACCTTGAAAATGACCTTCAAGGTCAAAATCCAAGGTGTCATCCACCCACATATTTTGCCTCAACCCTTGATCAATTAATCCAGCATGACCGCGTACCTAGAAAAATGCCATACAAAAAGTTATGTGGACTTGGCTGGTCTACAGAGAGCTGTTTGTTTCAGGTATTTACAATTCTTATTCCAAAGATATTAGCTCTTAATTTTTTGCTTATCAATATAGTTTCTTTACCGTTTTATTAAATTGCAATTAATCCAGAATAAGTGATAATGGATTTGACTTAGTATAAGTGGCTATTATAGTATGTAATGCCTTTCTAACACGCTAATCCCATCCTTATATTTTGAGGAAAAAACAAAAGAACAAAAAAATCGTTAACTTCAAAGTTTGTAAACAAATTACATAAACATAAAAAACTACCAAGTAAAAAGTAAGTTTGTATTGTGTGCAAGGGAAAATAAATTAATGGTTAGGCGAGTTCCCTAAGACTATACTGATAAAACATTGTAGGAAAAAAATACAACATTCAATTAATGAAATTATATCCAAAGTTCACCTAAGTCAAGATATTCCCCAGAAGTTATATTCCACTAGAAGTATAAAACTCTACATCAAATGACGACTCGAGTCTCACTCAGCTAGAAGTTTGTATCGCCCAAGTTTTCATGTCATCTATTAGTGAATGTAAAGAATAATCACAATATGAAGTTAAAATGTCTGTAAAATCAAAAGTGCTAAAGGTACACAGTAGTAGTAATGAATTACGACTGCTACAGTAGTTTAAGCACGCGCACACACACACACACACACACACACACACATACATGTATTTTTAAGTCACTTTATATACACAGCCACTGTTTTTGAGAGAGAGGTGAACTTTAGTATGTTTGTATAAATAGCCCCGGGAATGCTCACGAATGTCTAAATTGGCAGGGACGTCCACTATCTAAAAGTGAGACCCACTCTACAGCACAACCGTTTTTAACACAGCTGATATTTGGTATAGTTATTTTTTGCACGTGCACTTAATTGTAGCCAAGAACGGGCATTGAGATGGTCTTCCTGTGAAGATCATGGACGCCACATAAAAAAAAAATACAAATCATGACAGCTTCTCCTGGATGAGCCATTAAATGTTGTCAGGGTTATGGCTACAACCATTCTGGGAAATAACAATAATCTCTGTAATATTGTTTTTCTCTTACACTCGAACTAGTCTACCTGTATACAGTATTTGACATAAATATGAAATAGATTATGTTGATTCAAGTTCTAAATGACCAAATCACCGAGCTTACGCTAAACTAATGTTACATAAATCTAATCAAGGTAGAGCTTAATTATGTTATGAGGGTAAACGAAGTATTGAATGTTATTGTTGTTATAATGTTATTACAGTGCTTCATCAACGAAGGTCTTTAAGTGCGTAACAAGGTTAATAATATAGTAGTTCAACAACATTAAAATTATGAGGGACAGAACTCTGTCTTATACTAAATGAAATGATAAATGTTTATAATGAAAAAAAGAAGTGATCTAGAATGGTTAACAGTGCCGGGACTCACCTGACGACTGAAGTGTGTGGCTGCGTGGCAGTTGCCGTCTCTTATACCCTCGCCCCTTGGTGGTCCACCTAGGGAGGGAGGCGGAGAGGGAGGGGGGGCAGCAAAAACAGTGTTTCCTTGCGGTAAAAACACCAAACTTTGATATCTTTTAATGTAATGCCAGTCTTCGTGAACATCGTTATATACGATTATTTTTTAATTACCCTCCGTAAATTTTAGTATTTTGTAACTTAGGTAAATCTAAAACTTTCATAATAAATCTTAAACCGAATTATACTATAAACAGTTGTTGACAGAGGCGGCCATTACCTTCAGCCTTTAAAGGGCTCCATCTTACCTACACTCGTCACTGATAATAGACATCTATGTTACGTCTTCAGCTTCTAATATTTTGTCTTAAGGTCCATGATAAAAGGCACTATGCTTCATTTATCCTGTAAAATATTTGTCCAAAACCATCATAAAGTATGTGTGAAATTTGGAAAAGTCCAAAGTAACCTGTGAGTCACTCAGTTATTAACAACTAAGAATGATGTCAAATATCATATTGTTTAAATTTTCGCCTTTTACTGTGAGTTTGACTCACAGGGCTGCTGTAGGATGGATGAGATTCTCTGTAATTCTCTCTATTTAGAAAAATTCTCTGATCGACGATATTGAGTGCAACATATTTATTCAGTTCTCTAAATCGACACAAACCTATAATTGTCTTGATATATTTAGGTTGAATCTAGCATGACAATGTCAGATTCTTATGATTATCTTGCACGAGATGACAGCAAAAGAGATTATGTACCAATGGATAATTTCAGTTTATTTAATCTTCTGATGTGTTTTATGGAGAAGTTTCAGATTGTTGTGTGTGAGACGTATGCATAATTACTCTGAAATTTTAGTTGATTAATTTTTCCCCCAAAACGGAAACAAATAATGTCTCAATATATGACGCTGAAATAATATTGACATTTTTATCATGAAACCTATTATATTTTCATCAAACTAACCGAAGTTTAATTAAGAGCCATGAACAGCTCATTAAAATACAAAATATTTACCACAAATCAAACAGATAAAAAGAGAAGAGAGAGAGAGATAGGTGGTGGGAAGGCAGCATTGTGTAACTTTCGTGGGAGTTACCCAATATGTCCCAAGGACAAAAAGCTATGCTTTTAACCGTTTTTAAGTGGACTGAACAGTCAAAGTTATCTTAAAATCATCGGAACAATACAGCTGCCATCATCAGTGGTACTGGAGGTTCACACACACACACGCAGGCACAAAAAAATCCTGATTGCTTCAAAGATGCTTGTGAGAGAGGGGGCGACAGGGAGGGGGAGAGATTTGTGTGTGCGGGGGGTTGGGGTTGAAGGGAGATCTGTGAGTAATGGTGTTTGTTTAAGGGTGAATAGAAGATTGTTTGTGAGTAAAGAGAGGGAGGCTTTTGTGGGAGAGACAAGGGTGTGTTTGGGGAAGGATAGGGGTGCAGAATGATTAGAAAAGGGATGTATGTTTGGATGAGAAGAGAGTGTGTGTGTGTGTGTGTGTGTTTGAGATAAAAGGAGTGCACGTGATCGTGTCAGGGGTGTGTGTGGGTAAGAAGAAAGGAATGTGTGGGTAAGAAAATGTATGTATGTGAGTGATGTGAGTTGAATGTGTGACTAAAGCGATCGACGTGTGTGTGAAAAGACAGATGCGTGTGGGTGAGGAGAGGTGATGGGTGGATGAGGTGAGGAATGTATGTGGATAAAGAAAAAGTATCCCAAGGTAGAACAGGGAAATATGTGCATGGGAGAGAGAAGGAAGAATGATGAAGGTTGAAGAGAGGGGCGTGTATTTTAGTGAGAAGATGGATATGTGAGTGTGTGCGTGTACACAAGGTGGTGTAATGTGTCTAGAGTGGCAGCATTATGTTAGTGTTAAGATGCAGGCACTGCTTGCTTCCCCTTGCTTTCAGCTACCGCAGCTGGCAAGCCCTCGTAGTGAACAGGGAAACAACCTTGTGTAAGGCTTCCCTTTACAGTACACAGCCTCTTCACCAAGACTCCTGTTGTGCTTCCTCATGGCAACACACGGTAACTGGGTGCCTTGCACCCCAGATTAGACCAGCAGAGGATGTCGGAGAAGCAATGGGCCCCAGAGGGATGGCTCCTAGGCCCACCGGCATGTGGACACGCCTTGGCGCCTACCAACCACTGTCCCGTTGCCTTGAGGATTAACCTTGGTAGGCATAAGGCTATGGGAATAAA